ATTATAATCATTTGGTGGTCCTGAAAAGGACCGTTTTAAGGGTTATTTATGAGAGTTTTTAACAAACTATGCCTTCTTTTTGGGCGCTGCCGTCTTCTTGACTGCCACCTTCTTCGCCTTGGGTGCCTTGGTTTTGGTGGCCGGCGCTTTCTTAGCCTTGGCCGGAGACTTTTTCGGTTTCGCGGCTTTGGGTTTAGGCGCTGCGGCTACCTTTTTCACCTTCTTGGCGGCGGGCTCGCCGGATTTCGGTTTCTTGGCACCGGTGCTCTTCCTCTTCTTGGCCGCTCCGGGCGCCTTGGACACCGCCGCTTTCTTGGCGACCGGCTTCTTTTTCGGCGCTACCTTCTTCTCTTTTTTTACTTCGGCGGCCAGTTTGAAATGGCCCGACGCTCCGTTGCCCTTGGTCTGGACCAGCTTGCCGCTGGCGACGGCCGACTTAAGGAATTTGCGGATGAAAGGCGCCAGCTTGGCAGCGTCCACTTTGTAGTTGGCGGCCAAGTATTTCTTGATGGCCGGCAACGACGATCCTTTTTTCTCCTTCAGTTCCTTGACGGCTGCGATCACCATCACGGCCGTGGTAGGATGGGCCGGTGCGGCTTTCTTCGCCTTGGGAGCGGCGGACTTCTTTTTCGGCGACTTGGCCTGGGCCGGCGACGAGGCGGCTGGTGCTGGTGCGGCGACTGCGGTGTCGGTCATGGTGAAGCGGTTTGAAATAGACTCTGGTACTCTGGTAAAATGAACAGGAACGGTGTGTATAACTCGCGTTTGGCCATCACGCCGTCTATATACTCGCCGCCATACCGACTAGTAAACGTTTACGGAATCGAATTTTCCGTTTTGACGTGATCCCGTTCCGTTTTATCTCGTTTTTTCCACTCGAAAATCACGTAACGGCGACAAATCTCGTTCTCCTTAAAGCCAACGTTATAGCAAATCCGTCGGTCGGTCGAGTTTTCACTTAAAATCGACGGCCGACGTGCCGCAGGAGGTTGTTCCGACCAGTCCGACTATTCAACGATACACCTCTTTCGAGGTCGATTAGGACTCGTTAATTTCGAGTTAAACTAAAAAATCTTTTCGATTCGCAAACTGCACGTGTATTGAAAAATTATCGCGTAGGCTCTAAGAGTGTGCGGTATGAAGAGACCGAAGGGGGCGGTGTCGAATTCGGGTCGTTAGTAGTTTTACGTGTCGCGTAGTTATCATCAAAACTCTATGCGATATTTTGACGGCGGCAACACCGACCGAATCGACTTAAGATTACACCGAAAATAGTAAAAACAATTTTAATTGTCATTGTAAAAATATATTACCTATTCGGCTATTAAAGCCGCCCCGATTTCTGTTAAAAAGAAGACTGCCGAACGCTCAACTCTATTTTAATTAAATCGTTAGCCGATTCGAACGAGTAAACCGTCGCGATTAAGACGTCTTTACATTTGTTTAAATTTATTTTATATATTTTCGAAAGTCCAAGACTGATTTATTACGTTTGCTCAATAGTAGTATTGTTAAATATCTAGACTCGCCCGTGATCGTCGAGGCAGCACAATGTATGAACAACGAGTAGCCCGTTTACAAAACCGATTACGTTTCAAAAAATTAATATCGGTATTTTTATTTTTAAGTTTTATGATAACGTTTTGGTTTATTTTGTCTTGAAATAAATTTCCATAACCCATTTTTTACCTGATAAACATATACTTTATGTGTAGGCCCATTCCCAAAAGTTATTGTCTGCAGTAATTGCCATGAGGCATGTAATATTGGACCGTTTGTCAAATAAAAACGTATTATCAACATAACGGGTTTCACATAGGTATTACATATTGTATTTTAATATTAAAGTCGGAAACGATTATTTCTCATTTTATTAAACGAAAATGCTAATTTATTATTGTAAAATTAGAAGTACAAAATTTATTTTATGAATAAAATCGTGTTTTTTTTTTACTCCAGAAATAATCTACTCGAATCAAAAACTTTTCGTTTACTCACGTTCGAGTGCCTTATTAATTTTTCATTTTAAACGTGGTTGGAAAACTGATTTAACAAAAAAACAATTGCAATTTGTAGGTAAAGGCCGTTTGTTTTGGACATTTTATTAAACGGGTTTTTTCATATTTACCCAAAATTTCAAAAAAAGTTGACTTTTATAGTTAATTGTACATAGGCTATTCGATACACAAAATACAAACACCAGCCGAACAATGGCCATTTCACATTAGCAAGTGATATATTATTATTTATTATATTTAATTATTATATATTAATTATATAAAGTAATTTATTATATTATTTAGTTTTCAGTTTTCACAAACGTATAGAACCTATTGGTATCGTCACTGTCCGTGTATTTTAAATCCAGTGCCGCGGAAACGTGTGGAGCCCATATCTACCTACTTTCAGATAACATAGTTTTAAACGACGCGCCACAATCTACGGGGTTTTTTCTTTTTTTTTTTTTTAATAACGCGTCCATCCCTCCCGTCGGACAAACCGGATAGAAAATAATAATTCCTTTACACACCGCGTTCTACAACCTAACAAACTCATATCGACTATAACGCGGCCGCCGCCGCCGACTACTTCCCGCGCGCGCCAAAAATACATTTCACACTATGCCTAACGCTATACCGACCCGTTCATCGTCTACCGCCACCGCCGTGTCTACCGCCTATTCTTTTACCCGCTTTTTTTTTTTAAATATAAATAATACTTCAATAAAAACGGTCGTTGGGAATTTTCAACATTAATCTAAAAATGTAAGTAACAACATTCTCGGGGGGATACCCACGACCGTCGATAATAATAAAACTATTGAGTACAAAACTGTTGTATCAATTTTATCAACAGCGCGGCGCCCGCTGTAAGGTCGATAGAGAAATAATTTTAACGCATGTAGTGGCCCTGAAAAGGGCCGTTTTAAAGAGGATTTGTAGAGGAGTATTGAGACGATTAAGCACGTTCTCCGCGAATACGGCGAGCCAACTGGATGTCCTTGGGCATGATGGTAACACGCTTGGCGTGGATAGCGCACAAGTTGGTGTCTTCGAACAGACCGACCAAGTACGCTTCGCTGGCTTCTTGCAGAGCCATGACGGCCGAGCTCTGGAAACGCAAGTCGGTCTTGAAGTCTTGGGCGATCTCACGGACCAAACGTTGGAACGGCAATTTGCGGATCAACAGCTCGGTGCTCTTCTGGTAACGACGGATTTCACGGAGAGCCACGGTACCGGGACGGTAACGATGGGGTTTCTTCACTCCTCCGGTCGCCGGTGCGCTCTTGCGGGCGGCTTTGGTGGCCAACTGCTTCCTGGGAGCCTTGCCTCCGGTAGATTTGCGGGCGGTTTGCTTGGTACGGGCCATGTCGGTAGTTCGTAGACTGTCTGTGAAAACTCGAAACGGTCGAATATGTCTCCGCACACCGAATGAGCTCGTATATATACAAATTCGGATCGTAGGCGCGAGTTCTCATTGGTCGACGGAACGGCCTGCCGGAATAGAGGGAGATCTCGCGATACCGCGCCGTGATTGGTCCGCGCGACGGCCCGATCATATAAATACGGCGCGAAAACGTTGTCCGGGCATCATTCGATTTGTTTCTTCAGTCTACCGCAGCTCTCCGAACGACAATCAGCAACAATGACCGGACGCGGCAAAGGAGGAAAAGGTTTGGGAAAAGGAGGCGCCAAACGTCATCGTAAAGTGCTCCGGGACAACATCCAAGGAATCACCAAGCCGGCCATTCGTCGGTTAGCCCGCCGCGGTGGTGTCAAACGTATCTCCGGCCTGATCTACGAAGAGACCCGCGGAGTGTTGAAGGTGTTCCTGGAAAACGTAATCCGCGACGCCGTCACCTACACCGAGCACGCCAAGAGGAAGACCGTCACCGCCATGGACGTGGTCTACGCTCTGAAACGCCAAGGCCGCACTCTATACGGATTCGGAGGTTAATTCCCGACGACCGTTCGCTTTGCACCCTACCTACTGTTCTTTAAAACGGCCCTTTTCAGGGCCACCATTTTATATTATTACAATTATTCATTAACGTTTATGTCATTTAATGCATTTCGCAGTCGGCTACATGAGTACGTTAGTGTATAATATTATGTGTCACGTGTTTGGATGCGCAAAATAGTTGATATTATGAAGTATACCGTATAAACTAACAAAACGTTATAGCGTATTGCCATTATAATAATACAAATACACACGAGTAGTTTTAACGGTATACATTTGTAATTGTTCAAATTAATATTTTTTATAGTACATACAGACTATTATGTTCTCTGTAACATACATGCTAGTTGACATAAAAAATATAACAAACTAAATGTATAATATAATATAAAAAATATAACATACTAATTGAATATTTGTGTGTTTTACAATTAGTAGAATCGCACGTGGGTAATATACGATTTTTATAACTATAGCCCATTGGTAAAATAGACATATAGTACTAATTTATTGTCACAATAATATAATATTGTAAGTAATTGATCTAAATCTATAATATCTATTAATATCGATGACAATATTATTGAAGAGACAATATTTCGATATTAACCAATGATGTTATCATTGTAGTGCCGGCCGATGTTGTAGCTAAATAGCAAAATACAATTGTCTTTTTTTTTTTAGTCAAGTGTCATTAAATCACTGTTGTTGTCACATATGTATACGTTGGTATTTCAAGCTCATACTAGTAATCATATTTGTTTTGCTCTACTAGAAGCATACTGGAATGTTGGAAAAAATAAAAAATTATCTATGTATATTATACTTAAATATTATTTCCAATTCGAGTTATAGTCATATTTTATAAAATGTTATTGACCTAAATTAATAACTAAAGTAGATTTGCTGAAATTCTAAGTTATAATTGTTTAAATATACCTATATTTTCTAAGGCACGACAAAATAATGTAACGATATTTTTCGCTCGACATAGCACATCATTTTATACCGAAAACACAACAAGAGTGTTGCAATAATAGTTAATATTTGGTGGCCCTGAAAAGGGCCGTTTTAATATGTATAAATACGGCGACGACGTTCTTAAGCTTTCTTCTCGGTCTTCTTGGGCAAAAGGACGGCCTGGATGTTGGGCAGCACACCACCTTGGGCGATGGTGACGCCGGACAACAGTTTGTTCAACTCCTCGTCGTTCCTGATGGCCAACTGTAAATGTCTGGGGATGATACGGGTCTTCTTGTTGTCACGGGCGGCGTTACCGGCCAACTCCAACACTTCAGCGGCCAAGTACTCCATGACGGCGGCCAGGTACACGGGAGCGCCGGCACCGACGCGCTCGGCGTAGTTGCCCTTCCTCAACAGACGATGGATACGACCGACCGGGAACTGGAGTCCGGCACGGGACGACCGGGTCTTCGATTTGCCGCTCTTTGCTTTTCCTCCTTTGCCGCGTCCGCTCATGATGCTCGATTGTAGATTGTCGTGTAGTGAGACGAGAGAAAATCCAGACGATACTGATGATCGGAACAGGCCAAAATCGGTATTTATACACTTTTAAGACGTAAATGCGTCTGTATGTTGGCCTACGTTTGAAAATAACGACGACGAAAAACCACACTTTGTAGATATAAACGTTCAATGCAAAGTGTTGTTTATACTCGTCGTGTTTTTCTTTGATGCTTAGACGTTGACGATGAAAACACGGCACATTGTAGGGTTCGCTTTTAAACACAAAGTGTTAATCTTACTCGTCGTTTTTTCGTCGACTCTTACAAATCGTACTCGATAAACCAAGTCGCGACGCGTAATAAATATGAGCGTAAACGATTTTCGAACCATCATTCGTCCACCAGCTACCGGCCAACTATTTCGACGACCCGCAAACCGTGTACAACCGCAGTCACTATGGCACCAGGAGGTAAATCCGCAGGCAAGGCCATGAAGAAGTCCGGCAAGGCGCAGAAAAACATCACCAAGTCCGACAAGAAGCGCAAGCCGAAGAGGAAAGAATCGTACGGTATTTACATCTACAAGGTGTTGAAACAAGTGCACCCCGACACCGGCGTTTCTTCCAAGGCTATGAGCATCATGAACAGCTTCGTCAACGACATTTTCGAACGCATCGCCGCCGAATCCAGCCGTCTGGCCCACTACAACAAGCGTTCGACCATCACCAGCCGGGAGATCCAGACCGCCGTCCGTCTCCTGTTGCCCGGTGAATTGGCCAAGCACGCCGTCAGTGAAGGCACCAAGGCCGTGACCAAGTACACCAGTTCCAAATAAGCATTTCGATATTAGTCGCGCGCTATATCCACTTAAAACGGCCCTTTTCAGGGCCACCAAATTATTATTCTGATACACGTTATTATATAATAATATTATTATTATTCGTAGTGTATCCTAATTAAGTTATTAATATCTGGGGTTTTTAATTTTTATTGACAATATCACCGACCGGACGACCGCCGTGTGTGTTATCGTCTTTTGTATCATTATATTACGTTTGTCGTCGGTTAGTACTACGACGTGTATTTTATTTGTACATTCAGCGAATTTTTTCACATTACATTACTAAAAATATAAATTCACTACACAAATTAGAAAAAAACGGGAAAACAATATTAGCTATAGATAACACTTAAATTAGCTATATATGTATATATAACAGCTTTATTAATTAAAAAAAAAAAAATTCAATAGTGATCTGCTCAATCGAGTGAGTTGCATAACGACACAGTTTACTGGTCATTACGTAGTATAATGTAGGTACTAATATTTTTTATTATTTTCGATAATTTTGTTTATTCAAAAAGTGTTAAATTTATTTTTTATAAAAACTCTTTTTATTTAAGTTTTGCGGTTACATCTAGTATGAACATAATATTAAATACTAAGTCATATTTAAAAATATCTTGAAAACAAATTTGAAGAGCATAATATTTGGGGTTTTATTAGTGCGCGCGTTGTTTTTAGCGCATTAACTTCCGGGCCGTTGTTATCATAAAATACCAATTTAGAGGTGGGTACAATATAATCAAAATACGACACATAATATTTATTAGTAACTACTACAAATGTTAGGATAATACTTAAATAACTGTAATTGTATACACTACACAGGATGAACTCAAAAATATATACAATAGCATATTATTAGAATAATATACACAACAAACGCGTAATGAAAACACCAACTGACTTGACCGTTTCAGATCCACGGGTATAATATTTATTAAATATTAAAATACAATTTTACCTTCAGAGTGGACATGTTATTATGTCTTCGAATTTGTGCTGTAGACATTTGACATTTTTTTCTCAAATAATTGGTTAAAACAGCTGGCGATTCCAATAATTATTTCCTCTTTTTCCTTCTCGTTATAATATATTATTATTATTCTTCGTAGTGTATCCTATTTAAGTTATTAATACCTGGGGTTTTTTATTTTTTATGGACAATATCGACGACCGCCGTATGTGTTATCTTCTTTTGTATCATTATTATATTATGTTTGTCGTTGGTTAATACTACGACGTGTATTTTATTTGTGCATTCAGCGAATTTGTTCACATTATGTTACTAAAAATATAAATTCACTACACAAATTAGAAAACAATATTAGCTATAGATAACACTTAAATTAGCCATATATGTATATAACAGCTTTATTAACCAAAATAAAATACAACAGTGATCTGCTCACTCGAGTTAATTTCATAACGACACAGTTTACTGGCAGAGTATAATATTATTGCATTCGCATATATATTATATTATTAGGGCCCGGGACTTCTACCGAATGGTCTGAGAAATAGATCAATTTTGATATACAACTTTGAATTACATTATAATTTCGCGCGCCCGGCAACGGTCGACCGCGGCCAACGACGTGGGTCGTTCATTCCGCTCATTTGTTTTTGTCCTGTTATCTATCTCTCGCGTGTGCCGTTTAACGCACAGCGGCCGCGTCTGTTGTTATTTTCCGTTTTTAATCAGTCAGATCAATTTGTAATATTTTATAATTATTGTTATTTTGATATATTTAAAGTTTTGTTTTTCTTTGTTTACTTATGGGTGTACAGCCATACTTGTAATTATAAGTCAATTAGGGTTTAGGACTGGCCAGACAGTCCTATGTATTGTCAAATCAATTAAATGTTGTTATCTGCGATAGCCAAGTATTTTTTATAGTTGGTATTTTTATTATTATTAATTTTTCCCGCTCGTCCGTTCTAAAGGCGTCGGGTAAAGCGTCACCCCTGCCCTTTCAATCTGTTTTAAATACGATTGTCATATTTCTATTTTGTTTGTATTCTATGGGTAATACCGACTAACAGTTGATAAACCACGGATTTATTCTAAGTTTGTATCTGTAGGACATCATTTTCCTAAATATACAATAACAAACGTATTTACCCGTATTGTAGTAGTTTTAACTTTTTCGTTCCATTCCACAATCACTATTACTTACTGCGTGGCTTGTATTACACGGGGAAACTACTATAATCTATAATTCGGTATGAGACTACCCTACCTACCGGGCAATTATTGTATATATTATAATCATTTGGTGGTCCTGAAAAGGACCGTTTTAAGGGTTATTTATGAGAGTTTTTAACAAACTATGCCTTCTTTTTGGGCGCTGCCGTCTTCTTGACTGCCACCTTCTTCGCCTTGGGTGCCTTGGTTTTGGTGGCCGGCGCTTTCTTAGCCTTGGCCGGAGACTTTTTCGGTTTCGCGGCTTTGGGTTTAGGCGCTGCGGCTACCTTTTTCACCTTCTTGGCGGCGGGCTCGCCGGATTTCGGTTTCTTGGCACCGGTGCTCTTCCTCTTCTTGGCCGCTCCGGGCGCCTTGGACACCGCCGCTTTCTTGGCGACCGGCTTCTTTTTCGGCGCTACCTTCTTCTCTTTTTTTACTTCGGCGGCCAGTTTGAAATGGCCCGACGCTCCGTTGCCCTTGGTCTGGACCAGCTTGCCGCTGGCGACGGCCGACTTAAGGAATTTGCGGATGAAAGGCGCCAGCTTGGCAGCGTCCACTTTGTAGTTGGCGGCCAAGTATTTCTTGATGGCCGGCAACGACGATCCTTTTTTCTCCTTCAGTTCCTTGACGGCTGCGATCACCATCACGGCCGTGGTAGGATGGGCCGGTGCGGCTTTCTTCGCCTTGGGAGCGGCGGACTTCTTTTTCGGCGACTTGGCCTGGGCCGGCGACGAGGCGGCTGGTGCTGGTGCGGCGACTGCGGTGTCGGTCATGGTGAAGCGGTTTGAAATAGACTCTGGTACTCTGGTAAAATGAACAGGAACGGTGTGTATAACTCGCGTTTGGCCATCACGCCGTCTATATACTCGCCGCCATACCGACTAGTAAACGTTTACGGAATCGAATTTTCCGTTTTGACGTGATCCCGTTCCGTTTTATCTCGTTTTTTCCACTCGAAAATCACGTAACGGCGACAAATCTCGTTCTCCTTAAAGCCAACGTTATAGCAAATCCGTCGGTCGGTCGAGTTTTCACTTAAAATCGACGGCCGACGTGCCGCAGGAGGTTGTTCCGACCAGTCCGACTATTCAACGATACACCTCTTTCGAGGTCGATTAGGACTCGTTAATTTCGAGTTAAACTAAAAAATCTTTTCGATTCGCAAACTGCACGTGTATTGAAAAATTATCGCGTAGGCTCTAAGAGTGTGCGGTATGAAGAGACCGAAGGGGGCGGTGTCGAATTCGGGTCGTTAGTAGTTTTACGTGTCGCGTAGTTATCATCAAAACTCTATGCGATATTTTGACGGCGGCAACACCGACCGAATCGACTTAAGATTACACCGAAAATAGTAAAAACAATTTTAATTGTCATTGTAAAAATATATTACCTATTCGGCTATTAAAGCCGCCCCGATTTCTGTTAAAAAGAAGACTGCCGAACGCTCAACTCTATTTTAATTAAATCGTTAGCCGATTCGAACGAGTAAACCGTCGCGATTAAGACGTCTTTACATTTGTTTAAATTTATTTTATATATTTTCGAAAGTCCAAGACTGATTTATTACGTTTGCTCAATAGTAGTATTGTTAAATATCTAGACTCGCCCGTGATCGTCGAGGCAGCACAATGTATGAACAACGAGTAGCCCGTTTACAAAACCGATTACGTTTCAAAAAATTAATATCGGTATTTTTATTTTTAAGTTTTATGATAACGTTTTGGTTTATTTTGTCTTGAAATAAATTTCCATAACCCATTTTTTACCTGATAAACATATACTTTATGTGTAGGCCCATTCCCAAAAGTTATTGTCTGCAGTAATTGCCATGAGGCATGTAATATTGGACCGTTTGTCAAATAAAAACGTATTATCAACATAACGGGTTTCACATAGGTATTACATATTGTATTTTAATATTAAAGTCGGAAACGATTATTTCTCATTTTATTAAACGAAAATGCTAATTTATTATTGTAAAATTAGAAGTACAAAATTTATTTTATGAATAAAATCGTGTTTTTTTTTTACTCCAGAAATAATCTACTCGAATCAAAAACTTTTCGTTTACTCACGTTCGAGTGCCTTATTAATTTTTCATTTTAAACGTGGTTGGAAAACTGATTTAACAAAAAAACAATTGCAATTTGTAGGTAAAGGCCGTTTGTTTTGGACATTTTATTAAACGGGTTTTTTCATATTTACCCAAAATTTCAAAAAAAGTTGACTT